GTCACTATTAGAGTTGACATCTGTACCTGCGAATACAAACATTTAGTTTTTTGCAGTTTAAGGCCATCTAGAGCCTGAAGCAGGGAACAACTGCAGCTCTGTTAGCTTTCTGTGCTAATCCCCAGAGAAATAACATCCTACAAGATTTAAACAGAAGAAATCTTAGACTTTTTATTTTTTGGTAATATTTCAGTTCACATGTAATATGTTAATGGCTTTTGCTATTTAAGAGAATTAAAAAGTACTTTAATAGAATCAGCCTTTACAGGACTGTAGAAGGCAAACTGCTTTCTAAATCAGCTGGCTCAACTATACTTTTGACCTGCAGGCAAAAAAATGGCATGGATTATTTTCATATTCTCCTCCATAAATATATATGCAGCCAGTTGCTAAAGCAGACATCTCAGTCAGCAGAGCTGCTAGCACACTCTAGCCACACAAGACAGATACCAGCTCAAATAATCAGAGTAAAACTACCTGAACTCCTTTTTTTTTTTTTTTTTTTTAAATTTGTTTTGCTTTGTTTGATTTTTGGCTGGTTTTGGTTTGTTTTCTTCATTTAGATGAAGACTTTTCACTTCTCAGGTGTTCTTCTTTCCAAGGACCACTGAAGTTATAACTTCTCTCCAAAGACAGCAACATCACAGGAATTGGTGAAGTGATGACAATCTTGCAGTCTTCATGTATTACCCAGAATAATAACAGTTCAAACACACCAACTTCATATAAGGAATATACTGGTCATAGTGGACAGTTCAGATGCCATCCTAATAAAAAGCATCAGTAATTTCTTGTGTGAAGCTGAATATCCATTCATACATGTGTATCTCAAGCAGATATGGAAACAAACATTGTCCCTGTACACACATATAAGGGAAACAGTATGGAGAAATGACTGACGCACCAGAGCACAAGCCACAGGGAAACGCCTCCCCTCCCAAATCAATTCCATCTGAGAGTTCCAAGAGGCAGAAAAATACTAGGAAAAAATGAAACTGTGCCATTTCTCCTGAGGCAGCTTTAAGGTTTTTCACACTGAAATATTAAATCCTACAATCCAAAGAGCTCATAGAGTCCTGACTAGAAACCCAACACAGAATGGAAAACATAAGCAACTTCAAAACACTTTTGCCTCTCCACCTGCAATAACCTGTCATGCCTTTGTTTGGCAACTACTTGCGCTTAACTAATTTATGTGAAACCATGAATAGAAGAGCACATTCTGCTTCCAAACAGTATTAATCAGCTAGAAGGTGATAATTCACCTGAATGAAATACTGTCATTACTAATTTTCCAACCTACATGCGTGAGGGAGACTTAAGGTTCCAGGCTGCTGATCCAATACCATGAAAATTTGGAAGCAACATTGCAATTGCTGGAACACTCCACTGATAAGAATGAAACAAAACAGTTTCACCATGAAGAAGAATGTGATTAGTCTTGAGCAGAAATCAGAATAATTACTTGGAGTAAAGAGTCCTTCAGTTGATTTAGAGATTCTGACTCACATCTGAAGGAATAGCTAAGCAGGAGAAAATTTGATGATTCAAGTTTTATGAGAGAATAAAGATGATTGCCCTAGAGACTCAAAATATATTTTAAATTCTGGGAAATTTCTGTTTTTTCTCTTCTCCTTTTTATTGTGAAAAGAAAACTAGGTATAACCACAGTTTAAGAATAGTTGACGCTGCAAGTGTGCATATCTCAACTGAGATGGCAACTTTTACTTTTTTTCTTCTGGTAATGATAAATTTGTTTAGGTGCAACATGCTGTCCCACAGGCGGAATTACTTTATTTCTTTGAAAAGGGTTCTCAGAGTATTCTAATGATGTTGAAATCTCAAACTGGGAAGAACTGAGTTTATCTGGCGAAGTCACATTTTTCTCTTTCATTTACAAGCACACTAATGACAGATTCTTCTTCTGCAGGAAGCATACTTTCTAATGTGACTTGCAACTCCCAATTCTATGATAATTTTTAACTATTCAACTGGATTAGATATGGACTTTGGGGGATAGGTTAATATATCTGTTTCAGTGTAATGTCACAACTCTACTTTTCTAATTCAATCCTTTCAGAAAAGCTGCTACTGAAATCCTCCTTAGGATCTCCATGGTATGTAAATGGTTGCTCTGAGATTAAAAAGCTTCAGAAAATAGTTAAAACAATTCCTAACAGACAATAGCAGTGATGTCTGTTATGTATTAACTGACAAGCAAGGAACAATTAAGGGTCAGGGTTCACAAAGATGGCTGAAGCAAAGTCCAAAAGATACCAAGCCCAACCTGATGGGTAAAAAGTGAAAATAACTCGTACCAAAAGCAATTCTTCCATTCTAAAGACTAGGAACTAATAATTCAAGATAAGTTATTTATCCATGTTGATGCAAACATTTAAGAAAACCAAAGGTTTTCAGGTGACTGAAGATGACAACTGTGCTTTATTTGCATAGCACAGCACATTGCATATTCCCTTGTAAAAACCACAGGTACATCTATCATGAAAGAGGTAGCTTCAATATTAAAAAAGCAGGTGGTCTTGAGTAAAACTGAAATGTCATAAGAAACCATAATTCACAGAAAATACTGTTTTAAACACTCAACTTTGCTGAGAAGGTAGCAGCTCCATTTTGCAGCAGCTGACTTTTTTCAGAGCTGCATTTTTCAATGTGATGCACTGCACAGAAACAGTCCAACTTATAGTTAGCACAGTTGCATACTGGTCAAAGATGGATCATTATACAAGAGTGCTAGACACATATGTTCCTAGGTAGTCACCAATGGAAGTGGGTATTTTTTTCTGCCTAGTGCTGTGAAAGATTCTACTGCCAATATCAGTGAGCAAACGATGAGTAAGAACTAAATCAGGATCAAGACTTAATGGATTCTGTACTGAAGGATTTACCAGACAAAATCAAAATCACTAATCGCCAAGCTCTGACTATGAGCCAAGCAAGGGACTAGCTAGATATTCTCAGTTCTGCCAGCAGCAATGATGAATTTTTCCTCTTCTCTTGATTTCTTCAGTCACTGAAGGACTAGAGTATGTAGAATCTGCTGTAGGATGCACTTCTGGCCTAAGTTGTTTTCTTTCAGAACCACTTTCCATCAAACAGTTGAAGACTGACCTGCTAAACATTCAAACCAACTGAAACAAATGGCGAGGATTATGGAATGATATTTCTGTACTAGAGAAAGGGAAAAGTTCTGAACTTCAGGGAAACAGCAAAACTCTTCAGCCTATTCTGATCAAACAGTCTGACAACAGTTTACAACGGTATGTTTTCTTAACTGAAGATTGATATATTTTCTTTCTGTTCTCATCAAAGTATAACTTTATGTGTAGTTTCTGCTCATTTCTCTTTAATTCTACATACACCACAGAATAAATAGCATGACCTCTCTCAGTGGTATCTGCTAAAATAATTTCAAAATTGTTGAAACCAATAAACAATATTATAACTTCTGTCACATGCTATCCATTTGCATGCTCCAGAAATAGTCTTTAGTCTGTAAAGAAAAATGTTAGGAAAGGATCTGGTTCAGTAGTATTAGCAAAAATACAGACAAAATCATTATTACTTCTTATAAGTCAAGAAACAGCATCAATTCATAATGATAGTGTGCCACAGGAACATCAGCTTTGTTATGGAAAACTGATTAAAGACTGAAAGCCATTTTACACATACCTGAGAGTAACGTCTCCAAAGTGAAGCTCACCTGATTTCCACAGCAATACACAATGATGATTTTTTGTCAACTATTAGTTTTCATTTCTCAACAATTCTAAGTCAGAATTCAAAGAGTGCTTAGCAACATTTTGAAAAGAAAGTACATATGCTATGTAATAGTACATGTACACAGAAAATGCGTATTAAATACCTTCCATTTAAAAATGCTGCATTCAGGGAGCTCAGTTTTCTTCTATTAAACATATTCAGGGCATAGCAAAAGTTCAGCTATTCATCTCTTTAATAAAGAGTTTTTAGACGTACCACAGACAAAGCTGAGAAGCATCCAATAAACCAGAACATTAGAATGGCAAACAAAACCATCTATTAGAACCATGCTCTCCTTAAACAGAATGAACTACCACCACACCATAACTAGTTGATTTACCAACCTAGATGCAAACCACAATGTAATCATTCAGCAGAGCAACAAATAACAGCAGAGAAGAAAATTCAGGACTTTATTTCCTTCCCTCAGAAAGATCAGGAGAAAAAATTCAATTCACCATAAAACCAGCAATTATTTTCAGATTTACACATCTTGTCTGGTTACAACATTGTTAACGCAAGGCATTTGCTTTGAAACCTGGGAGGACAGAAGAAAGTTTTCATCAGCAAACCTGATGCTCTGCAGAAGTGATATACCAGCATCTATGAAAAATCTGTACCACTTTTAATAGTGTGGACTGCTATTCCTTTATCTTTCTTTTTTTAGCAAGCTTAACACATTTATTAAAGGAATAGAAGGGTATAACTTCTGGTCTTTGCTGCTTCTTTTAATGATGTTTCTCTATGAGACAGTAAACTTATGAATGGAATGAAATACCCTGAGAGGGATCAGTGTTGACTAAAAGACATAACACCAAAATGAATTTTCTAGGCTGCCTCTTCAGAGAACTCTGTAGTACCTGTTTTCACACTGAGCATTAAAGTTTTTCATACATTGCTACCTTCAGTATTACAGAGCCACTCAACAGCATTTATTCTCATGTAGTAATAAAAATTTGACATAATTGAGAAACTAGGATCCAAAAAAATAATGATTCCTGCTCTCCAGGAACATGAACTCCTAAAGGCCAGCAAGACCTGAGGTCTTAATGGAACTGCCTATGAGAAGAAGAGTAGGTGGAAAATCTAGAAGACAGGACACATTCCAGAATATGAGCACAGTACCTCTTCCAGGAAAAGATGGTTCTGAGCACTATCAACATGTCAACAAAGACCACACTTCAAATGTCAAACAAAAGCCATACTATATGGTCCACCAAGAACACCGAGTTTATAGTGAAATTTATTGTTCTGCTTCCTAATACAATAAGCTACAAGGTACATACAGTATAAAACGAGAACAGCCACAGAGCAAAGGTGATAAACATTCTGTGATGATACAGTGGAGGTAACGTCTGTCTAACCCTTCCACTTTATCCCACAAAGAGCAGCTAAAACTACTGACCCTTCCCCCCCCACCCCTCAAAAAAATATTAAAAAGTAAACTGTCTCTCTCACGTAGGAGCAGTGGGATTCAATGAGTTTTTGAGGTCACTGGTTATCTGCCAGTATCTCAAGAAAATTGCTGAAACTAAAGTAACAAAGAAAAACTGTGAAGGTGGGAGTGACATGACCCATGCAAGATGCTCATGACACCCTGGTTCACTTCTCCTCAGAGCAAATGGCCTGTAAAGAAAGGAAAAGTTTGTTACATCAAGTAAACCAGCAACTAACATCGTCAGAATTAAGATATTTTATGCAAAATCTGAACTAGGCAGGACTAGGAATACAGATAAACTATTCTTTTAATGAAACAATAACCTTCTTCTTAGTAAGGCTGGGTAGACTGATAGCTGACTATCCTTCGCCCTTTATTGTTAGATGCTGTGCAGAAGGGTATACATTAACATAGGCACAGCTGACACCTGTTACACAAGGTTCCAAAACACATAGTCTTGTCTGGGAGAACTCTAACAATGATGTGAACTGCAACCTCAACTCTCAAAAAAACGTCAAGCCTATAAATACACAGAAAGACTGAACACTTACCTTCAAGGCACAAAAATCCACTTAACCACTTCTTCATATATACTTGGTGCGGTTGAGGGCTCTCTCAGCAAGGTGACCACTTTCATCTGTTATCTTCTCCCAGTCTGTTTGTCCAACAACAAAACCGATGGCCCTTTTCCTGTCGGCATCTTTTTTTTCTTCTAGATCTGCCCACCGCACCTATGGAGAATATCTTATCAGTATAATCTCTTAAGAAATCCTGATACAAGTCTAGGCTTTCCAGTGCAAGTAAGAGTACAAGAATATTTATTTGTACTCATTTTCCTTCACAGGTAAGTATTAATTTCTTTTCTGATAGGTAAAGACGGAAACTAAATCAGTTACATTATTTTTAAGTGAATACCGCAGCTGTTCTATGGAGTAGAATAAAGGTACAGATGATTACCCTTTTCCATTTCAATAGTATAATGCTAAGCATTGAAGTGTAATTACTACAATTATTTCTCTGTTGAAAGCAATGCTTTCTGCAGGAAGAATTATCCAAGATTCATTTAGTGTATTTTCTGTGCAACCTGTATTTCAATTGCACAATGGAAATATCTAGAAGATAACTATGAAACTACAGAAAGACAGTGTTAAAAAGCAACTCAGCAATGAATAAACTAATGAGGGACAGTTTTCTTCTCTATCTTCTGTGATATATTTCTATTTAAATATTTTCAGTATTTTTTACACTAAATAAACTTCTTCATACATTTGTTATCTCTCATCTTTACAGCCTTATAGTTCCATATCTCCCCTGTAGCTCTTCATGGTAATGCAGATCCCTTGCATTTATCCTCCTCAAACATACACAGTGACACCCACAAACCCAGACACTGCTGGGAGTGAGTGCAACAGTGAGAAAGGAGCGAGAGAGGTGACACAGAAAGACTGCAATCACTAAAAACTCAGCTGTAACACACCATTGCAGGACAAGACAAAACAGTATGTGAAAGAGCTCTTCCCTGACATACTCATTAGTCCCATTCAGGTCACTATGTTACTCAGGGACATAGCCTTATCAACTTTCTGCCAGCACCTCCCTATCCACAGTCTACCTGGATTTCCCCAGACATTCCTACAATGTCAGCTTTCTTCCACCATCACCTCCTCTGCCAATGCCCTAGGTATCTCCATTTCTCCCAGACATGATGTCCAATACTATCTGACATTACAGAGCAAAACAGTGTCCAAACACTGACACTTAAATTACTTTTAGTGGCAAAAGCCAGTCTTTCTATTTTGAAGAAAAAAAAAAAGAGTATTACTTCTATTACCTTTCATCTTTTTCTATTTTTCCCTTTTTTTCACAATAGAATGTGAACATATGGCATTTTGTTTTCAGAACAGAACTACATATAGAGTTATACACATTATTTCCCAATGTCTACAAGATATAATTGATGTAAAACCTACATAACTGATAGTTTCCTAAGACGAATCTTTTGGAATACTAGAACAATGTACTGTTTCTCTGTCTACTTAGAACAAAACTTAACAAAAAAATAGCTTAATAACATCATCACCTTCTCTTGGAATCTCTACGATATATCACACTATCTCACCACAAAACAACACAGCATAAAAGGACTCTATGGGTTGCTCTGAAATAAAGTGCATCATCTCCCCAGCAAGAAATGGGACATGATTCCATTTCCAATCTCTAAACCGTGCCCAGGCATAGTTAATCTGTAATTCCTAGCTTTGTTATAATTAATATGTTTACATCTGGAAGACCCTACTTGCAAGAATCATCTCTTACAGAATCTAATGGAACAGCAAAATGAAAAGTGAGTCAGTGAAACTCCCATATTCATAGTCATTGAATGACTTGATACAAACTCTCTTTCACAGAGACTGGTAAATCATCATATACAGACAGTAAGTCATTTGAAAATTTATTACCCTTTTCTTTCCAGGTTCAGAAGCACGTGTATCATAGTCATCTGGAAGTTGCAAATAATCTTCCATTCTGCTGGCAATTGCTTCCCAGTCACGTTTCCTTTTAGTGCCAGTCCGCAAACCATCCAGCTTGTCTGAGAACAAACACAGAGCCTCAGCGTTAAAGGAGAATTTTTTTTCTATTTTTCACACAAACAAGATGAGAGTGGGAAATTTTTCAAAAGAAAGAGCAGCAGAACTTGTATATCCAGCTTGTCTTGACAGGTGGAATGATGAGACTTGAAATAAACTAGAGAAGACTCAGCACAGTTTTCAAGTTTTATTGATCTTTCATGTTAACTGTGTGGCAATAACACTCAGTCTTGTTATGTGTACGAGGGAGAAAAAGCTTGCTCTTCCAGATGGTCATATTATACGGAATCTATGCTTGCAAGTACAATATAGCCAACAACAGCTAGGAACCACAGATCCACCTTTCTGTATTTGAACACAATACTAAAGCTGTAGCATTTTTCCAGATTTGGGGATCAATTCTGTGTCAAACATGGCATACATGCAGTATCAGGGAACAAGTGACGATCATATAATTTAATGCATCAAAGACAAGTTTTTGAGGTACTGTTTCTGCTAAACAAAAAGCTCCTTGGAAACCCTGATCCCCCCTTTTCTTTTTCTCTCTCCCTAAGGCAAACTACTTTAAAAATCCTCCAGAACTGGGGGGAAAAAAAAAAAAATCTCAGATTTTTTTTTCTTTCATGGTGTAAGAGGTCAGTCATGAATATTTGAGCAGTGCATTTGTCTCCAACAGTCATAATTTTCTTCTTTTTCTTATTAAACAAATACGGCATGAGGAGAAACCATTCCTATGTTCTAAAATTTTGTTCCTCTTTGGACATTCATTCTCATTTAAAAAACCCACCTTCTTGAAATCATTTGGCAAACTGTTTTTGAACAGGAAATGAAGCATTCATTGTAAGATTACAAACAACAAAGCATGAAAAAGAAAAACAGCTTTACAAGTCAAAGTAAATTCTATTACTTCTGTCAATGTATGCTACCATTTTATAAGCCAACAATTCAAGTATGTGTAGAAGGAACACCAAGCTTGGCAATTATATTCTGTAAACCATTTCCAGTGATGTCAGAAATATTGTTTCAGAAGTCACCATTGTAATTAAATTCACCCACAAAAGGCCATAGAAATAAACCAAATACAAGGCAGCATTATTTTCTGTATAGCAGAAGACGATGTTCAAAGGCATGTATTTAAAGAAGCTTAGTTCAGAGATGAGTTTTTTTGACTTAATATGGGAGAGAAAAGAGTAACAATGGAGATAATGTGATTGTACGTATTACAATGGCACTGTACACGTGCTAGTATAATTTAAATGCCATAAACCAAGGAAGTTATTTCTCCCTCATGCAGCTCTAAGATTTTTAAAGACTCCACCTTTGCCCCATTCCCTGGAACAGATATAGAATTTCTTCTAATAAAACATTTTAACCCCCCTCTACTTTTTTAAAAAGCCAACATTTAAGAAAAATGTTCAGAATATTTATATTTGTTACATGGCTCAGTTAAGGTTCTTCTTTTGCTCTAAGTTAAATCTGCCAAATTTGATGCTCAATCTCCACAGAAAGGCGACACTCTCTAGAAGACAAAATTGATTTATACGATATTCCTGTTTTACTCCAGCACATACTATACTTGCACTGTTTCTCAGTATTACTTTCAATCAACGTAGATCACTTGTAGCGTCAAAGGTTTCCAGAAAAAAATTAACACGGAATAGGAGATCAACAAATGCATTGAGGAGCATTTAGGAACATGAAAAACTGAAAATTGAGGCGCTCTCTGTTGGCAGGTACCTGTAGACACCCACATTTCTGTTGGAAGGCAACACACTATGATGCAAGCTCACCTCATCACCAATATGAAAGTTCAGTCTCTCTCTCCCTGCTGCACAAAGAACTGAAAACATCACCAAGAAATGTATAATGCTCAAACATCAACAGAGGAGTCCAGAAGGCATTCTGAGTATGCAGTTCCCCTGTCCCGTTTTGTTATTGCTACACAGAATTTATTTTAAAACGTTCTCTCTCTCCACGTTTGAAGTTGGATTGCTTTTCCGGAGGAGTATGCTTCCATCCATACCATCACGGTTCAAGGTACATGTACCATGCAGTAGACATTACATAAATGTCAAAAGCCTATCACAAAGGATTATTTCAGAATATTCTTTTCTGAAAATGAGACAAGGTGTCACTTTAACACTGGCGCTTGTGAATATTCATGGCAGATTATTATTTAGTGTTAAACTACCAAATCATTTTACCATTTCAATTTTTAAAAACAAATTAGCAGCATTTCTGAAAACCCACAGAACTTAAAAACTCACCTTTAGAATTTTAGTAATAAAGCATCTGAAAGCAAATGATTTAATTAGCTCCTTCAAAAACTAAATGAACCAGCTATATTTTGCTCTTCTTAGACAAAAGCCACAAAGTTTTATGTAAAATGTTACTTGTATTCTACACCAAATTTTACAATGGTATCCAAGCTTCAGCTATGGCATAGCTTGTTTCTCCCTTCCTAAAAGTTTGTAGAAATCACCACTATGACGCACTTGAAATGGGGCATTGCACTAAACACTTAGCATATAGTCAAAGTTCAGAAGTGAGAGTCTAGTACTTTAAATTTCAATAGAGGAACCCATGCGCAATATGCACCGAGACAGACCAGTGGTTAGACTTCAGAATAAAACTGTGACTGTGCACAACACGTAAGACAATGATACACCACACGCATACTCAAGGGGAATGCATCACTCCCGCCAAAATGAATCTGAGCTAAAGCGAGAGTTGTGGGGCATACGGCGATTGTCACAAGTCAGTGTTTGCAGCTAAATAACTCAAACTTTTCAGACCTTTTCTGACATGTATTACAATCACTAACATCTTATTGAGCCTTCCTGTAACAATATCTACTCATAAAGAAAACAAAGAAGCAAAACAAGACTCTGAGTGTTGGTTTCGGAGTCTGCGCTTACACATCAACTTCTGTAAACGTGTGCCCTCTGGGACCAATGCAATAAACCTAATGGGCTGGCCAGTTCCCAGCACAGCTTATATGCCTCTTCAGAAATAATTATAACTGGTCACCTACAAACTCTTATTGTGAACTAATTAGTAAATAGAATAATTCTTACTCACAGACTGCAAATGTTTATAATGCATACCTTGAGCTAAAAGCTGCCTGCCCTGACAGAGCAATTTTCCAAAGAACTGCATTCATTACATGGGAATGCCTGATTTTCAAAGATGCATCTTTTGTCAGAATTTACTTTTAATCTATAGTCCTATATATACATATAAAAAATTAATCTAGAGGGTAGTTATAAAATTGTGAATACAAATTTAATAGAAGGCCATTCTTAGCACCTGTATCTGTGTTTTGCACCATGCTAACATTGTTTGTTAATAAAGTGGGACTGTTAAAGGACTACTGCAATAGCCTTGCAAATAACTTACTTCAGCATACTGCTGCATGCTCCCCATTTTACATTTAAGTGGTGACTCTATAAAAATCCTGTGTTCTATCTCATGGAGTTTTCATTGCATAAGAAAACACAACACAGTTCTTTGTTTCTATTTGCTAGCAGTATTTTGAAAGCTATCTGTAAATTTCTGCTGCAGTCACAATCTCCACATTGTTAGAAATTACACTTAACATTATGCATCAGAGCATTCTTCAACAACGCAGGTTTCCAGCATTATGATTTCATGCATAATTGAGTAAAACTCATGATAAACTTAAAAAATAGTTTTATATTATTTTAAAAAATTATTGCTTATAAGAAAAATTCAGATCAATACTGAATTAATTCTGCCTAGCTACTATTTGACATGTCAAAACAATCAAGTACAAGGCACCTTTGGTTATACTGCAGGTGCCACAACATCAATATATTCCACAAATATTTATATGACTTAAAAGAGAGCATAGCAGCAGAAGAGATGGTGTAGCTAAGCATTTAACAGCAAAAGATGACAGGCTGTTTTATGTAAGCCAGACCTTCTAATGCTATTTCTAAGGTGCAATTGTGATTTTGGTTATTGAAAAGTAATGACGCACAGGGCTGTACCACACATGCAGCAGCAAATCTCAGAATGTTAAGACATGCTGTGTCCTGTTCCGGTATTTGTTACTTCTCATAGACATGACAGAAAAGAGCAGTTTTGTGCAGACTGTCTTACGAAATCTTCCCTTAGAACCATTATTGTTCAGTTAAAAAACCCCAAACCGACAAAACTGATCATAATGACCAGAAACCCGTTCCTCCTTTCACCATAGCCGTGGTGAATGCATTTCTGCCTGAAAGTTGCTTTTGACTTTGACAGAAGCCTAATGTCAGCACTTATGTTTAATGCAATCATCAGCACTACTCAGAACAAAAAGTGCAGCGAAAACAGGGTTCACGTGCTTCTGGAAAGTCCATTTTGCATACTACTAAGAAGAATTCTAGTACTCTCCTGGAACTGAAAAGCATTATTAACTTTTCAATACCTAAGCTGTTGGAAAGATACATTGACGCCTAATCATTCAGAAGAAACTTCAAAGCATGGCACTACTTTGTCTTTACAGACGTCAATTTTGGAAAGTGAGAAGCATCTCCAATACAGGTAGGTATGAAGCATGTCTCCAAGAATGTAAGTTACTGGTGACACTTAAGCTTGAAAAAAGGTATGCAGTATGAACAAGAACACAGTGCAATGTAAGTTGACTCTTTGCTTATATAAAAACTATAAATATGGAAGAGATGAATAAAGAATAAAATACTGCTTTCTAAAAATTTTAAGACAAAGTACTTTCCTTGAACAGATGGAAGAACAATTAATGAAGATATAAACCAGTGATGGTTAGAAAGTAGTAACTCTCTTGTCTCTGGCAAAAGACAAATTCTGTTTCTGTATAGATGTTTTTGCTGTTTCAGACACATGTATGAAATCAACACATTTATTTGTCTTTGGTAAGGAGGCACAGTAAAAACCAAAAATTCAAGTTTTGCAAACATCATTAGATACCAACTATAAGAAACAGGAAAAAATAAATACCCACCTAGCTTTGCCTCAGAAGTGTCCATCTCCCATTTGCTTTTCGGAATGTAACCCTAAATCATACACAGAAAGAAGCTCGGAGGATTAGAGAGAGACACACATGCATATCACTTTTGAACTGGAAACAGAATTATAATATAGGTAGCTTAAGGTATTTCTTTTTGTAAGGCACAATTCTCGTTATCAGATGAAGGAGACCAATTACTCAGTATTTCAGAACTTCTGCATCCACTTCCATTCAGTGATTTTAGAAGCCCTTATAAATCATAAAAAGTGCTGCCCTTTGCAAACACAGAACTCCAGAATGAGTCTAACAGGCAGCAAAGGCGCTGTGTGCAGTTACTGTATTGTATCACCCCAGGTGGCAAAGTTATTGTAACACAACTTATCAGATATAAAGAATTTTCAAAGCTTTACAAGCACAAATGAAAAAATTACAGCAAGGTTTTACAAATATAATCCCAGATTTACTACAAACAAACCTCACTCCTTTTGAAGGGACATACTAAATTCATGTATGAGTGGTTAATTCACAATTAAACAAAAATTTCTTTTGTTTAAAAGAGAGTATCTGCTGGGTCACTAGACTTAAGTATTATTTTTCACTTTAAAATAATACTCTTAGCTCAATGACACTTTTAAAACACTTTTCCCCTACAAATAATGTCAGCATGTGTAATGATTTTTAGCCAGTTTATTCTTTGTAAATCCGCACAATGATATTAAGTTTAGCAAAAAGGTATTTATTTTAGTTACATTGTTATCATCTCTTTTTAATACTCTTTGACAAGTAAATCCTTACTAAGCAATCCTCATTTCAGCTGTTCAGATTTGTTTTAAAAGTATTTATGGTTCCTCTGTAATAACGCAAAAAGCTCAGTGTAGTGAGTGGAAGGCCTGTGAGAATTCCATTACTTTTATAATGTTTTTTAATAGAGAGGGAAAAGAACTACTCTAGAAGATTTCAAGAAGAAAATAAACAGTCCACAAACAAGTTTTATGTCACTGACTTCTTTCCTGCTCTATTTATAGGTCACCTCCACTGTCGTAAACATGTACATATTTGTTAATGCTACGTGTTACTGAATCAGTGTACTCCAGATTAAATTCCAGTATATTCCAGAGAGCTACACTGATTATGCTCAGCATTGCTCTTCCAAAATCCTTGAATGACCTTTTTTTCTATCAAGCATATATCAGTGACTTTAGGTTATCAGATCTCAGTATTTTCTTGTTTTTAATTAAATCTGTAATTAATACAAACCAAAACAGTTTGTGCTGCATATTTCCTTGTAACTATAAATAAGCTTCATGTATATATGCATATTTATACTCCAAAACCAAGCTGCACATTAAAGTTTGCTCAGAAAGTTTACACCACAGCTAGAAGCCTGCATTAAACGAAGTGATGTGTGATACACTGGTGAGAACACTAAGTTAAATGCATCAATAATTCATACCATCAAGCACAGAAAAGTAGGAATTGTCTGAATGCCACAACCCTATGGACGTTGATAATAGCAAGAAGAGTGACTTTGATGGTGTGAAAATGGCCTATTGTGTGCTGAATCTACACAATATCCCAGTCCTCAGATAGGATAAGCAAAGATTCAGACTTTATCCTTTCGTACAAGACAGCTGGATATTTCAAGGATATCTGCCAGATGGCAGGAGCTTCAGACTTTTTCCGCAGGATTAAATGCAGCAAAACGAATTGCAGAACCCTTACCAACTGCTCTCAAGAAGGCAAGCGATACCAAATACAGTGTACTGTTCCACCTGTCTGATATAATTCTCTCAGATGAGCTATCTGACTGAATACCAGAGATTACATACAGTAGATAATTCTCTGCTATTCTTCTTGTCTGAATAGAACACATTCTTATACGTAGATTACTTTTAGTTATTTAATAATTTGCATAGTTTCCACACCAAACTTTCTTTGTCTCATAAAGAAAAGGCCTATTGTTATATGTGTTGTATCTTAGGACACTCCCCCGAACCCATAAACAGACATGTACACACACACATTTATGCACAGATGTTTCAAAAGCTAAAGACAACTCTCTCTTTTAGCTATAGCTCATTTACAAGAAATGAGACAAGCAGCCATATTCTTGTTAACATGGATGCATCTTTGAAATGTTCTAACCACACTTTACGAAGTCTCGTATTCTGCGCCAAAGAATAATTTAGTAAAGAGAATGAGTCATATTGCAAAAACCAGACGTTTATTAAAATCCGCTTTTCCTAAGCTTTTCAAAATTCTATATTTCAACTGCTTTCTAAGCTGCCACTCCTGAGAAAATCTCTATCAAGGAAAAGCACTTCGCTCATCCCAGACACTTTTGGTTACCTCCTGTTTATTGGACTTTAACTGCTTGGTTGTGGGAACTAGGGTTTGAGACATTCAACTCATCAAGCACTGACCAGTAGCAGCTCCAACACATACCAAGAAGTTACAGCAGGAAGCCTTCCATAGCCTTTTAAATACGTACCTAAAAAAACCAGCCCTGAGGGCAATTCTATAACCTTCATTTATCCAAAAGACCTACTCCCTCATCTTGGAAACACCTTCTGACAAACAAAGCCAGCAAACTGTGGCAGAGAAAGCAGTCTTCATGCGTGTTGTCAAATACTGTGACAGTTGAGGAGAGTTCTTTAGATATGTGAAAGGAAACAAGCTAAATTAATCTTTGTCTATTGTTCCCATCCCTCCACTTAGTGTAATTCTTAGATTATCTGGAAGACAGCACTATGGTGTACTGCAATTTAAAAAGTCTGTAAGAGGCATTTTGCCATGCTCCACTGATAATGCTGTTTGTGGAATATACTCACATATTCTTACAAATAAATTAGGAAGAAATAACATGATTGATCATTAAAGTTCTCCTAGAAATGTTTAAGGAAAAAACGACTAGAAACATATGTATTGAGATTGCACTGCTAAGAATGGCAATATGTTGGTGCTTGTAAGACTGAGATTCTTCCTCAGACACATTAATGAAAAATTTGTTAGAGATGGCTGATGTGTCTCCTACCAGTTCACTTTCTTCCTCCTCTGCTGTGTCCTTCTTGACTTCTTCTTTCTGATCTTCAATATTTGCATCAAAATCCTCCATCTCCACCTGTTCCAAACCACAAGTACTGAACTTACAAAGCTCTAACAGGGACTCACGCGCATACTGCAGAATATATAAAACTATCCAAGTATGTACCGTTCCTTATATCATTTGTAAAACCTTGTAAACCCAAATCTGCCTTCTTTGAGCCTTTTACTGTCCTCTTAAAGATTATTATTTTCGAATACAAAGAATTTGGAGGTTCAAAAATAACCTGCTGGCCTCATGACAAACTGCGGACTCTCTGCCTACTTCAGCAGTTCACCAGTTTCTGTGGTCACGGCAAGAGCTGTTCTAACAGCAACAAGCAGCTAGGGTACCTTCAGGAATGTACCTATGATTAACATATACTATTCCCAGAGCTTCTGACACAACTGCCAAAGAATGCAGCAATACAGAAAGCTGACACACCAAAGATGTATGTCATGGAAAACTGCAAATGGAATAAAAAGGCAGCATACTTCTACAGCAAGTGTAACCTTCTGCTACATGTTGTTAATTTTTTCATTTCTCTGCTACGTGTCGGTATTTATCAAAACAAAGACTGAGTTCAAATTTCTTTCCTTATTTTATCCAACTAATTTCTCAAAATATGATCAGAAAAATCCAGTAGCCTGCAAAAGGTGCTGAGTTTCACCTAAGTAAGCAAAGATTCTCTTTAACTGGTATTCAAGAGTTGCTAAGAGCAAGTGGCTTCAACTCTTGCTCAAAAAGGTGTAAGTCTGAGCTTCAAAAAGGTGATAAAAACTAACAACATACCTTCATGTTTGGGTAACTGCTAAGTATAATGGAATACATGTACCTAACAGTGATTCTGACTTTCTACAGTGCCAACTGTAATTGCCTTGTGATCATATCTTTTCAGTATAGTCACACTGACATAATTTGTAGTTTTAACAAGCACAGAGGTTCTCACCTCTTCGATAGCAGCATCCTGCAATAGAGAACGAATGTCCAGGCGCATCATGTGACGAGGTGCTGCCTCCCAGTGCTCAGACATCTAACAAAACATAAACAAAAATGAAGCACCTCTACAAATCTAACAGATTTATTTGGTTTCTGACCACTAACAAGATGCACCTGTACTTAAGAAAAACAATTTCAATCAATTCTATGCGTAAACATTATATAGTCTACAGTTTTCAAACAACAGCAGGTCCAAAAGCACAATAAACTTATAATTAATTCTATGGTTGCAAATGTATACAGTTACCCTGCTGATATCCTTTAGCTTGCGTCCATGAATATTCCTCTTGGAACATGTCTGGTTATCTGCACTCATTTCAGCTAAGTACACCTAGAAAAAGAAAGACAATATTAAATACTGTAAATCAATTTTTAGGTTTTTTTTTCTACCTGGTGATACACTCTGCAGTTGTACATTCTAAGAAAGGTAAACTTGTAACTGCATACCACAGCTTTTTTCCTTATTGTGGGAGACACTTTGCATTCAAATGTTTAGAAATATCAGCATATGGCTACTAGCAAGTTCAAATTCTATTTAGGCTCCGTTACCTCAAACCCCTTGGTTTTTGCAGCACTCCAAAACTGTTCAAAATGTCGCACTCTATCATTGATAGCATCAAGGATAATGAAGGGAAAGAAGCCATCATCCAAGGTCTTTTTGAAAGTTTTAAACATGCTGGTACGATAGGTCTCTTCCATATCAGCTTCATATTCATACTCCATGACCTTTATCAAGAATAAAAGCATTTAAGAAAGAGGACATCTGTAAAAATGCTAATGTTCAACAGCTAAACGTCATGACCACAAAGCACACTGCTATGTGAAAAGCACATATCAGGCCAGCTTTTAAGAATTTGCCCATACCACCTTAAGTTATATTAACCTGGTTTGAAAAACCGCCCATAGACATCTGCACTCTTTCCAAGCCACAGACAGAAATTCAAATTGCTGCTGTGTTTTTCCAGAATGTTGTTTCTTTGTCAAGACAAGCAATTGAATTAAGAGTACCTTCTTTTTAACTTTTTTCCCTGTATCTGGGTCTCTCTCTTCTTTCTCCACTTCAGTGATAAAATAGTCATCCAGGCTGAGCACTCTTGGTGCAGGTCCTCCACACTCTACTTCTTTATCCTGGCAAGAAAGAAAAAGGAAAACATATACTCTTGCTCTAAAAATTCCATTCTGCTACATAGGATCTTCAAAACACTTTTGCCCAGAGCAGTTCCCTGCTCTGTATTCAAAACAAAAAGAGAGCGATATCCCTCCTGCTTGGTGATAGTGGAGGGGAGTCACACGCCACATGAAGACATGAACATGAAATAACAACAGACTTGAATTTCAGGCAAACAGAAAACAAACAGCAGAGGAAGCACATGTAAAAGAGAAGCAGCACTACACAGTGAGCAGTTGTTTACATACCCTAATGAGTTTTGCTACATGTGTCTTTCCGCTGCCAGGCAACCCTCTCATTATGATCACGATCTGAAACAAAGATCACGTAATAGGATACTGTACTGTATTTAACAGAATCTCTTGCAAAAATTTTCTTCAAGAAAATTACGTGCTATGGGCTCACACTTTTGCATATGATCAAGCAAAGCCACTACCACACCTCACTGTCTGTTTTACAAAACAGGTAGTGAGGAATGGTAGTAGTTACACATAATTCAGAGTTTTTGACGTTAATCATCTCAGCAGCTTAGGCTGAGATGTTATAGATCTGGTTCAGTTTGATAGCCAGAATTGTGTTCTTTCTTACATTATATGGTGTACTGCCAAATCTCTGACTCTGTGTAAAGCCAAGTCTTTCCTCCGATACATCAAAAACCCAAGTGAAGATCTCATAAGAGTCCAAAATACCTTAACATTACACACTGATTTCCTTTTAGCATTCCAAGGAAGTTTACATGTCCTGTAGACTCCTCATAGTTATGCTACAACACTAAGCATTTACAAAGGAACCAAGCTAATTTCTACAACTTCCTCAAATGTACACCTGTTTGCAACATATTACACCCATGACCATTCTAGTTGAATACAGACCTTGTAGAAACCGATTATTGCTTTCATAATGCATACTCACTCTCTCTGGTCTGCTATCCCGTCCTGGTGGCTTTAAAATATCATCTACATTTTTAGATTCTGGCTTCCTTTCCATTCTTGGAGCAGGTGGTGGCTGACGGGGTATTGATGGAGCAGAAATAGGAATCCTTTCCTCGGGGTAATTTCTACGATCACCTTCAAATTCCAGTGTTTGGACAGAAGAATTTTCTTAGTTCAGTAAAATAAAAAAATTAAGATGATCATACACAGTTGAGCTGATTTAAACAGACCTTCATTATTTTAAGTTAAATTTACAGGTAAGTCCTCAAAACAATTCAAATTTCTGATCTTGAACATATTGCAATCAAGACAGCTTTTAGCAGAGTATATCACTGTTTCATTCATGATCTCATCAACCCTGAGAAACAAAACTTCCACCACCTAAACTTTCCTGAACTATATATTCTGAACAAATAAATACTGCAAATCGATAATCTACCAGTTAATCTTCACCTCTGCAAATCCATATTTTTCATAATATCCTAGTATGACTTCAAGATTGAGAAACTGTACCTCCAAACATGGAAGGCCCATGATCATACGCTGGGCGATCTGTCTTTCGTTCATATGGTGGTCTTTCAAAACCACCTCGCCTGGAGGACGGATGGTCCTTCTTGTCACGGTAAGACTGAGTCCTTGTAGGTGTAGTAGGAAGAACCCTGCCAAAAGAGTATTTTGTGTATTTGTAGAATTTCCACTATGGATTCCAGAGCGAAATGAACATGCACCTCCCAGGCAAAACAGACAGCCTGATACACAATACAGCCTCAACTGCACTGATTCCAGTAGTGTTCCAAAATCACATACCTATCATCTCTGGGATGCCGCTCTTTTTCAAATCTCTCTCGTTCATAGTCCGTAGAACCACGATCTCTGTGAAATTCCCGCTCTCTCTTGAAATCCCGATGATCTGTGTTGGAATTACCTTGACGCTCAAAATAAGGCTCACGATCTCTTTCTCTGTTGTAGCGACCCGGATGCTCTGAAGAGAGAAACCCATGGAAATCCAAACTACTATTTTTGAAAAAAAATTAAAGCAACAACCAAGAGTGCAGGAAAAGTATATAGAAATACATGACATGTGGGCTAGAATGGACATAATCAAACATTGTATCTCTTTTCCAAACTGTAACAGACAACCATAACATGCAATCCTACTTAAAGCTACAAAACTGAATGTTTAAAGTGGCTAGGTTATTGACTGCAGTACTCCTCTTGACATTATAACCTGTTATTCCTATGGGCCTCTGAAGAAAATAATGTGGTTCTGGCTTAAACAAGAGTTACTTAGTTTAATATATGCCTTTAGTGCCTTACAGTTTTTCTTAAGAGCTATCTAACTGAGAGCTAGCCAAGCACTCCCTACCTTTTTGAAATGTTTGCCTCTCCGGTAGAGGTTCTGGACGAAGAGTTACCCTCTCCCCATACGGAATCTGTTCCACTTTACTGGTAGTTATATCTGGTTGAAAATAATCATAAAATAATTAAACACCTCTCTTCCATTTCCTTTCCTCTGTCATGAGAAGCAATCAGTCAATGGCATTAAAAGTGACTGGAACAACTTACAAAAATTTCTATTAATGGATAATGCAAGAAGAGCTACACATAAATAAACAACACCATGGCTTTGAAAGACTGAAGTGGGTTTGTGTGTGTATGTTAACCATTTTATCTCTAAGAATGGGACTTCTGCCTTTTAAGGTGCGTTCAAGTAGCATGCAGTGTCAGAAAACTGTGAACACTAAAATGCTCTGGGAGTTTCAATAACTCATAGAACTACTGTAATATCAAGAATAGTAACTTAACGTCTCACATCAGTAACAATTTTTCTAATAGCCTTTAGTAAAACATCTACTTAATGGAACTGAGATGGCTTCAACTCATGCCATGGCACCTCAGAGAGAGAAAAAACACACTTTAAATGACAATGCACAATTTAAGAACTTCTTCATGACAGGATTTCACTGCTGTTAAAAACTTACAATGAGGGAGATTAATTCTATTTAAAAACTAGTGTTGAATTTTAGTTTTGATAAGCTCAACTAAGAATCAGAGTCCTTCATTGTTTATGTGTTAAATGCCTGCTTAGGAAACTTTGTGTCCCTCCCTGTCCAGAGGGTACCTCACACGCATTAAGCAGTAGATAAATAATGCAAAGACCAGACACATTCTGCTTTAAGTTACTAAGTCACACCAAAGAACTGTAACCATGCAAAGTATCTTCTAGCACAGTTATTTCCATACTCATCCACAAAGGGGTTAAGGGAAAGTGTCAATATCAATCTAAATATAACATATTGATGTGATCACATCAGTTGCTGTTCATTAGAAGCAGCCATGGCTAGACACCATTCAGTTCACATGAAACAGCTCTTTCTAGGAGGATTGAGAAAAGCATTAAACTCAGGGTTGGAGGTTACAGATTCCTTAAAACTGCACTGCTTAGCATCACATCACAATGGACGCAGTCTACACGGCAACTGCAGAGCAAGCACACTTTGCATGGCACATTCCTTTAGAAAGAAGTTAGGAGGACTGATCAGCTCTTTGTTACAGATCAAATACACTGTAATACCCACCTCGCCCATGGCCATAATCCACAGTTTGCTGAATGACAGGTGCTTTAGGAACTGGTGGAATAACTGGAGAAAGGGACACTGGTACAGATGATGGAACAGAGGTGTGGACAGAAGGTATTTTCACAGGCGAGGAAACAGGTGGAGGCATCATTGACTCCTGTTTGCGTAACTCGTACTCCATATTTGCACCTTTATCCTCATTTGTGTCCCACAGTCCGTGGAAAGAATCCTCATCCCAGCGTTCCTGTTCCACAGCAGAAGGTGATGGTTTTAAAGACTGACCATGACTTGGGGTTGTAGTTGGAGCAGAAACTGGAGCATGTGGCCTTGTCATAGGTGTAGTAGGCCTTGCCAGTGGGGCACTTGGTCTTGTCACAGGGGTGGGCTGTCTGAACAACACGGGAGGCTTTATAATAACAGCAGGAGAAGGTTTAATAGCCTGGGCTTCTACTGATGCCTCTGAAGATAGCTGAGAAGAGACCTAGATGCAGAAAGCACTTTTAATGTAGCTCTGTAAAACTAACCTTCTCTCATCCTCTGTAAGTCAGTCAGTGCAATGGTAATCAGTAATCAAATCATACACATTTTCTAGTACCTCCATCAAGGTGCTACAGGTAGGAGGACTATTTCCAAAAACTGGTGGCCTGATTTAATTTGGCATTTGTTCACTATGTGAAGGCTTAAATACTACTTATTTTCTTCTTCAAAATAACCTTACCAATTTAAGCTCCAGTAGGCCTATCTCAGTTCAAAAGTGTCTACTGTTTTATTCCCAAAGACTCCTGCTGTCTGCAAAGATTCCTGCTGTCTGTGAGAAGGTAGAAAAAGTCTGAAAGTAGGGCAGCTTGATGAGATGTAATAGGATTGATAAGGCCAGTTTCTTTGCGGAAGTCACTTAAAAAATTCACAGAGAGCAGAAATACCTGGAAAACCCTTAATGAAATCAACATCAGATGAATATAAGAAATTGAAAGGTCTTGCCCAGTAGAAAAACAAACCAAACAAAACCAAACCCTTCATGAACCAAACATCCCCATGGAACTCCAGTCTCAAGATTTTTCAGCATCACAGCAAATGCCAAGTTACAGGCAGCCAGCCTTATTAGCAACATGCAACAAAAATTGCAAAATAGTTGTAATACATAGCCGAACTCTGTAATAACAGTTAAAATTCACAGCAGAAATATTTGAAGGCAGGAACCTCTAGAAAGACAAGAGTTGTTTAAAAACCTCTAGGCAGATGAGTGAAGTAGTGTGAGATACTTCTGCTCAATTTTAATATTTTGTAACTTCCTAAAGGCATCAACATACCTGCAGTTCTTGGTAGCAAATCACTTTCATTATTTTACTTTACAGACACTGCAAATAAGGAAGAGGTCACGTAGGCAAAAAGAAAACTTGCAGTATTTCATTCACTGCATAACACTTCTCTGGAGGGAGGGACAAACAAAGTTTGGTCGGGCTAAATGTCAGCCCCAGAAGACATTATGGGTAAATTTACTGGTATCAGTAACTCTGGAATTAAGATGCCATGAAGAATAAACACTCTGCATCAACTCCTCCCATATACATTTAACAAAAATGTTTATTCGTTCTAGGAGTGATTTTATAAACGTTAGTTAGCATGACTGCAAAAAGTTCCGTTGATTTCTGACTGGACATGAATTATCAAAAATCCAGGCATTTGAGAAGAGTTCCCAGAATTAAACAGGAGACGAGAGAGAAGAGAAGCAACTTGCATCACCCTGGGAGATGAACTCATGTAGGTACACAAATGTCAGCTTCCATGCACTGTATATTATAGAAGGTGAGTTCCCAAGAAAGACAGCAAATAGAATGCTAATGCCTATGCTACATTGAAATATCTCAGTTTCTGATTGACTTATCCTCAAAATTCTCTAACTTCAAAGAGGAGAGAGCGCTCAAAGTAGGAAAAGCCGTATAAATTGTCAGAACTTAAGCAAGGAACAGCAGAGTCTTCTTGTGAGCCTTATATCCCTGTTTTGAAAGAGCTCACCTCCTTTTGCACATCACTCCACAGAATCTAGACTATTGAACCTCATGTGCTCCTGTCCCTGACAGGTCATTCTCAGAAGACATAGTGGACTGAGTAGAAAAAGCTTTGGAAAATTTAAAGAAACTAAGAAGTTGCTTTGCCTCAAGAGAAGACTGATGAGGTTGTAAGGATTGCTGGAGAGGCATTTCACCAGAAGTTTAACCATCAGTGCATAGAATTGGTTGGAAATAAACATTAATTATAATAACTACCAACATGTTATTAACATAAGACAAATATACCTGAAAGGCACCTGGTCTTGTGCTTGTGTTCTGTGATCTTGGAGGGTCCTGTGTGGAAATGTCAGGTTTAAACTCCTTCAACTTCTGTAGCTGTTCTTTTTGCTCTCTGCACATGCATCATAAGAAAATGTTATCAGTCTATAGGTTAAATAAAAAATATGAAATCAATGCTCAACAGTGAAAACTTATCACACTAGAATTAGGAGCCAAGTCCAAAGAAGAAAAGGACACGGTAGGTTTTACATGGGCAGTGCTATGATTCAGAAATCCCTTTTTCACATCCACCTAACCATGGAGGTATATAGTGTATTAGCTGCATGTTTTTTGACCACAGGTTTCCTGAGACACGTAGTTTTGCTTTCGTGCTTGACCAAAACCACTCTGCTTGGACAGTAAAGAGTAAAGTTGGATTATTAGCTTCTGCCAACACCTTCTGGAAACAAGAAACCCCCTGGACATGTACTCATAAATGCTCTCACTTACTTGCTCTGGTTCACATGCTAACAGGATTGAGACCATCAAAGCACAAGAGATTCCAGTATTTAAAAACCAAACAACTTTCATTTCCTTGTTTTATATATCAAAATGCTATTTAATATACAACAATACATAATCTACAGAGCAGAGACATAAGTCCAGCCATGAGTACTGCAATCACTAGATTATAAAGTTCTATTGAATCTGATTTCCTTTCCTTTCAGTTTTTCTTAGCATTTTTAACCTAGGCTTTTTAATTGCTAATAATGCAGTGTATTGAAGTAGTTCCTAAAGAAAAACTAAGAATGGGATCCCTCTGTAGAAGGCACAACAGAGACCACCCAGAATAGTAACGCATCTGTTCAGTGTCGAGCAGAAGGGGAACTTGGCTCACAGAAAAGGATCCCCAGTGCTGTATTGGTACAAAAAGTAAACCAAGCACTACACTGGATCACTATACAGAACAGCATGCAGCTAAGAGTATGTTGTTTTACACACAATAAAAGCAAAGCCAGATGAAGGCTTTACTTTTGGAGATGAAGGCAATTATGCACCACACTTCTGCTACAACTCTTGGCTCAAAAAAAAGTAATTAATAAGCAGTCTCCTCAAAGTTGTTCCCACTATTCAGACTCGGGTCACCTGCCTATAAGAACCTAATGAGAAGTACCACTGTAACTAGTTTTAAGATTACCCTCATATTCAACTGAAAATCAGTATCATATTTCTGTTCTCTCTTTTTACTGGCTTAGAAAGATGTGTATGTAACAACTTTCTTGCATAAAACAAGTTTTAGTTCCTATGTTTAAAACATTTCAGTTCTAATGAACTATCCACTCTGGTAGTGATTCCCAAACTACAGTCCTTAGCTTAAGTCCACTAGCTTGCAGCTAGTCACAATAAACAACAGAACATGTGCCCAGAAACTGAAGCAATAGGAAAGTCAGGAAGCTGAAAATAATCTGTTACTCCAAACTTTTGGCAAATATTACTTTATAACACAGATTTCACAGTTACTAACACTTGTTGAATTAATTTAATTGCAGTGAATGATTAAATTATTCACAATAAAAGTTCTCTCTTTTTAAGACTAATTTTTCCTGTATTTTGGCATGCAATTAACACCTTCTGTATGGGACAGATGCTTAGCAATCTTACAAGTCTGAAAACAAAACAGCCTGAAGAAAAGTACAAAATGTCTTTACCATGGTTTGGGTTGGAGGGGATCTTAAAGATGATCTAGTTCCAAGTTCCCTGCCATGGGCAGAAACACCTTTCACTAGACCAGGTTTCTCAAAGCCCCATCCAACCTTGTTTCTTCAATTACTGATTTTGTAATAAACATCAATTAAAGCCTTAGGGAGGCTTTAGTAACTGCTTAGGGAGGCTTAGTAACTGCTTTTTAAAAATGTGGTCTTGATGAACTCTCACATTCATATCCTCCTGATAGTTATTACTGTTTTTATGCTGATCCTCAGAACTAAGATCAACCAAACTTGACAAAATTATTCACTGACAATATCGGATTTCAAACGAGAGAGCACTGTAAAAAGAAAAAAACCACATGTATGCTTTAATTAAAAAGCAAGAAGTATCCAAAAAATTAAATAGGTCTTAGGAACCATATTAATGTAAGTCTTGGCAGGTCAGTATTAAAAAGCAATTATCATTGAGCTCATCTGACACTAACAAAAAGACTGAAAAGAAATTATCAACAAGCTAAGCTGAGGATAACAAAAACATTGGTCAGGTGATGGGATAGATCTTCTTGAAAGTAACAAACAGGGAATGCCACATTCATGGGGAAAGGGTCAACCATCTATTTAAGAAAAAAAGTCCGTCTACAAAAATTGTAATGGCAGTACTCCAAATAACTTGTTACACATGAGCTCCTACTATCATGCTGTGGGTGAAAGAACTGAAGCCATTACTGTGTCAATTTGAATGAATCCCACTGAATGGGGATTCCCATTCGAAGTCACAGAACCAGGCAACTCACCGAAGCATTTTGAGCTCCTGGGCAGCCTTCAGAATTATCTCATGCTGTCTTTGGCTAAGGACCATCACTCCTCCCAAGGACTGGTCAGAGTCCAGGTTTGAATCTGCTCCCAGCATATCGCAGGAATGTGAAGGCGGAGGAAGGGATGAATCTGAGTGGTCATCCAGAGACCGCAGTCTCTCTCCCTCATCTGGATACCACCTATTCGGCAACCGTTCCCTCTCCCAATCAGTCCTTTCAGGAAGGTAGTCTTGCTTTTCCCGCCACGTGTCGTATCTTTCTGGATACTCTCGAATCCTAAGCTCCCCCCTGTCTCGGAGATCTCTGTCATAATGATCTCTGTTCCTATCCTCCCTCCACCTATCTTCACGATACCTGTCTAGAGGCGGAAGAGGTGGTAATGGTGGTAGTGGGGGGATATCCAGGTCACGATTCCCCATTTCTCTGTCATCCATAGTTCTCATGTCCCAATCTCTATCCCATTCTCTGTCTAAATCTTGATGATACATATCTGAGGATCTTCCAGTTCTATCTAGATCTCTCTCTAGTTCCCTTTCTCTTGGCCTTTTCCAGTCATCCCACCATGAATCTCGTCTGTCATGATCAGATGATAAAGGAGGTAGTGGTGGTAGAGGAGACAATGGAGGCAGTGAATGGTGGGATTGCAACCTGTCATCTCTGTCATATGCATCTACAGAATCATCCTGATAATCAGAGTTGTGATCTCTCCAGTATTGTTCTCTTTCCCAGTCATCCAATTGCTCATGCTCCAAAGAAGGGTCATCTTGACTATCTAAAGGAAATTCTTCTTGCATTGTATCATCTTCATGACCCCAAGAACCCCTGAATGTTTCATCTCGATGGTATGGAGGCAATTCATCAGGGTCATCTCCTAGGTGAATGGGTTTACCCATATTGCCTGTTTCAGGTCTCCCTGTTTCCCTCTCATGGCTACCTCCCCTCCTGATAGGACACCTCTCACGACTACCTGCCCGCCTACCCAGGCCCCTCTCACGACTATCTGCCCGCCTCATGGGGACTCTCTCCCGGCTACCTGCACGCCTGACAGGGACCCTTTCCCGGCTACCTGCCCTCCGCATAGGTTCTCTTTCCCGGCTACACTCCCGTCTGACTGGGCCTCTCTCCCGGCTTCCTGCTCGTCCCCTGTCCCAGCTGCCTGTCCGTCCAGCTAGTTCTCTGTCTCGGCTAGAGAATACCCTCTCATGGCTATCTGACCGCCCACCCAGGCCCCTCTCTCGGCTCCCTGACCGTCCATCTGGCATCCTCTCTCGGCTGCCTGACCGTCCATCTGGCATCCTCTCCCTGCTGCCTGCTCTCCTGAACATTCCCCTGCCACGGATGGATGCCTGCCTAGCCTGCCCTCTGCCTCTGTATACATATCCTCTGCCACAGCCATCGTCCATCCTGCCCATTCCCCAACCACTGTCCATCCTTCCCATTCCCCGGCCACCATCCATCCTTCCCATGCCCCTGCCACGGCCCATTCCCCAGCCACGGCCATCCCCCTGCCCTCTGCCACGGCCCCTTCCTCTGCTTACTGGTCCCTTGCCCCTATCTTCATGCATAAATGGCCCTTTTCCTCTGCTTTCTGGTCCAGGTAAGTCCTGGGTGCTATCTGAAGCAGTCAACTGGCCATCTGGTGAATCCAAATTCTCATTTCCTGTTACAGGTGTTACAGTATTCTGGTTCTGAGCAGGTGAAGTAGGTGCCTTCGACTCTTCTACTGGCTGGTTAGGATCATGGGAACTCCATGTCCACTTTTTAGGAGGGTCTGAAATAGTTTCTTTGACTTCAGGTTTGGATGGTTCCTGTTGAGTGTCTGTCAGGTCCTCATTTGGCTCAATGGGACCTGCACTCTGTGCATCGGGAGTAGACTGTGTTCTGCTTACAGTCTGCTGATCACTAGCTGTGTCTGTAAAAGGTTCTTTGTTTTCTGACTCCGATTCTGTCTGTGCCTGCTGCTGCTGCTGTTGTCCCAAGTGAGGCCTGGGCCCCATCCACCGTGGGCCACTAGGTCGGGAACCATGTCCATGCGATGCATTTGTTGAAGTATAAAACTGTCCTGCTGGTCCTCGTGGGATAGACCCCCATCTACTTGAAGACTGTCCATCTGTATTCTGTCTGTCAAAACGTGACCTGTATCCTTCTGAGCGCTGAGAGTCAAAACGAGGTCCTCTCTGTCTTGAGCCTTCAAACTTGTCATATCCTCTTCCTCGACATCCATCAAACCTAGAGATGACACAACAGCAATTTTATTCAAATGAACATGTCATATTAAAATCTTATAGAATAATTTTATACAAAATAGACAACTCTTGTGCAAAGTCTAGTTGTTTGGATGTTTGGGATTCACAGTCGTACATCACTGGATGGGTTAGGAAGGCCAAAGCATGGTTGGAGCTGAACTCTGCACAGGATGCAAAGAGTTACAAGAAGGGCTTCTATAGTTATGTCAGCCAGAAAAGAAAGGTCAAAGAAAGCGTACCCCTTGGACAAACACAACTGGCAAACTAGTAACAACGGATGAGGAGAAAGCTGAAGTATTCCACAACTTTTTTTGCCTCAGATTTCACTAGTAACACTATACCTCTTGAGTGGATGGACTGCAAGACAGACTAGGGGAGCAAAGTCACTCCCATTATAAGAGAAGCTCAGGTTCATGATGACCTGAGGAACCTGAATACACATAAGTCTATGGGACCTGAGGAGATACAAGCTAGAAGCCAGAGGGAATTGACTACTGTAGATGCCAAGTCACTCTCCATGATATTTGGAAAATTGTAGCAGTGAGGTAAAGTCCCTGGTGACTGGGAAAACATTGCACCCATTTTTAAAAAGGGTAGAAAGAAGACCCTGAGAACTACCGACATGTCAGTCTCACCTCTGTGCCTGGGAAGATCCTCCTAGAAGCTATGCTGAGGCACATGGAGGATGGGAGGATCATTGGAGACAGTCAGCACAGTTTCACCAAGGGCAAGTCCTGTCTGACCAACCCAGTGACCTTCTATAATGACTAGGGGATAAAGGAAGAGCTGTGGATGTCATTTATCTGGACTTCTTTAAGGCCTTTGACATGGACCCCCCACGATACCCTTCAGTCTAAATAGGAGAGATATGGATTTGATGGGTGGGACTGTTCAGTGGTTGATGGGTGCTGAAGGGATTGAGAGTAGCCCTGCTGAAAAGGACTTGAGATTGCTGGTGGGTGAAAAGTTGGACATGAACAGAAAATATGTGCTCGCAGCCCAGAAAGCTAACTGTATCCTGTGCCTATTACTGCACATCACTGAGCTCTAAACCAATGCTCATATAAGACATGCACTAGCAAGTAATGAAAACAGTCTGTTCAGAACTGTACATTCAAGAAATCCCCATGACCACAAACAACATTTTTTAAAAACCCTCAGGAGGTAGAAAACTATTAGTTTATAAAAAATTATTTTACACCGCTAGCAATTCACAAATTATTATTCATGAGTGATCACTTTGGAAGCAAGGAGAAGGGAAATAACGATGAAGATATTATTGTAAAGTCAAGCAGAGTACGCAAGGAGAGAAACGATTGAACAGAACACCACTGTTCTTTGATTCAGGCGGCATCCCATCAACCCATCTTGAACTAATGATCAGGCAGAAGAGATGTTGTTTTTGCAATCTGATATCATGTAAAGTATAAAAAAAAAACCATTCCAAAACCAAGATCTTGGATTAAATCATATAGCAGGTACAAAGTCACATAAAAGACACAGAACACTGCGTTTTAGAATAGCTTTACATTAAAGCCTTAGGCCATCCACCTGACAAAATGAAGATTTACATTTTAAGAAAACTGTATCTTACCAAAAGATAAAGACAGCACCTCTAAAACCAAGACCATAACAATATAATGCAAAAGTCGCAAAGAATCCTGATGCTAGGATCCTAAGGCTCAAATCTTCTTTTTTTTCCTTCTCTCTCTTGCTTATAATTGTCTGAAGGCTAAGGAATGCTACATACGTAGAAAACCACTGATTTGTACTTAAGACAAGCACTGCCTCCCTACCAAACAGTCATTTTGAAGAGTGCACCAAACAGGACAGTAACGTAGCTGCAAAACACACTAGAAGTTCAAGCACTGGTGAACAGCTTTGAATTATCATTTCTTTCTGCAATAAGTGTTGTATTACAAACAAAGAATACTTTTTATCGTTTCTAAAAATAAGTAGCATCTAAATTATCAGTAATTAGCTATGTTTGTATATTCAACTGAACATATAATTGAAACCTTTTCACAACACCAACATTAAAGTGTACCTTAAAGTAACACCTTAAAAACAATCTTTTGATGTTTTGTGCTTCAGATTTTCCTAAACTGTGTTCCAAGGACCACAGATAAAATGATGGGAATATAGATCACTTTTCATGTAGGATCACTCTTTCAAGTGAGAGTTATCATCTTCAAACTAAGGACAGCAAAGATATATGAAATATTTAAAACAGCTTTCCTATTTTCAAAAAAGGAGTATTGAGTTTCTGGGAATGAAAAGGGTGCAGCATCCCCAAGCACTTTACTAGAAAAAAAGTGCAAACTACTCCAGATAATGCTCAGGTGAAAGACATCTATATATCCCTGCTTTAAAAAGATAAATACAGAGAACATGGTGTACATATATTAAAAACAAAACCTCCACCAGATAAATACACACACACTTTGCACAACCTCAGGAAATTTGAGAATAAGATATATGTTTCATTTCTTAATACATCACTGAAAGTCTTGTAGCATGGAACAAAAACATCCTTACCTAGGGCCTCTGGGGCCTTCAAAACGCGCTGATCTAGGAGGATCTGGAAGCAATCCACCTGACCTCACTGGTTTATCCTGCACAATAGATGTGTGTGTTGAAGACACTGCGGAAGTGCCTTTCAGTTCCCCACATCCTTGCTCAGATGAAACAGATCCAGTTTGTTTACTAAGATGAACTTGAGATTTCCCATGGTCTGATGAGCCAAAGGATGAACTTGTTTGAGAATGATAATGTGAGTAGACAGTTGAACTAGCTATTTTTGATGCATAGGTACCAGGGGTGGGAAGCAGAGCTGGCCTCGGTGTCTCAGTAGATTGACTGCTTTGAGAACTTGATCCTGAAGGGACAGAGGAATTGGACAACTGAGAAACAGAAGAGAGAGGTGGGGGAATCAGTGGAGGTGTAGTTGAAGGTAAAGTTGGAGGCATAATAGGAATGCCACCTTGACCAGTTTGAGAATATGGAATAAATGGAGGTGGCAGGGAAACATTTGCAGGATACTGATTCTTCAGATTTTGGAGTGAGGTCACTTTCTCCTGCAGGTGGGACTGAGTGACCTTCATCTGTTCATCCCATGCTTTCCACTGTTTCTCATACTCTTGAAGCTGATCTTTGTGAGGGTAGGTTTGAAGCTGATGCTGCCACTGTTGGTTCATTGATCGTTCCCAATCTTTATGAAGCTGCTGGAATTGTTTTTGCTGTGCCTCATAATGCCGCAGTTGCATGTCCACTGACATTGTCTGCAATAAGAACACAAGAACAGCTTCATAATACCATCTTAGTTACTTTCAGAGCCACATATTTCAGTATCACTTGTAATATCACAATTTCGGACTTGGGCAGAAGCTTGAGGAAGAACTACACTGAAACAAAAGCAAACACCAACCGTGATGCTTAAAGTCATTGTGACAATTTATACACTTTATGACTAGAGGACATTCTTGTATAAGAGACATTAACAGGACAGCTGAAAAAAGCAATAAGCTGCATTATTATTGTATTCTAACACTCGCTAATGCCCAAATTAATCTTCATATGTAGACATGGTATGTGGCTATTTCTCAAGGTTTCAGCTTCAGCTATTAACATGCTTAGAGTTGCCTCAGCTGTCAGCAATTAGTTTTCTCTAAGCCTTTGTCAGATCATCTTATTTGCACAACGAAGCTTCTTTCAAAGAGATCTGTCTTTCATTATGTGTAGATAACCTAATATTCATGGCTTGATCTTGCCTGAGATTTTTAAAGTTTACCTGAAGAGATTTTTTTTTAAAGTAGACAGCCCAAAATACAAATAAATACCTAATGTACAAACTCTACCAACCCAGTAAAAGCTGACTCAACTCTCTAATACAGTAATCAACTTCTGCTTAAAAGCTTAAAGGTTGAAACATTGGTCTAATTATCCAAATTTGTTAAGACATTTTATTTCACTGATTATTTGAGTAAAAAATATATGTGAGATAGTGATTTTCCTAATTATTTCACTGCATATTTTTGGCATCTATATTTATCATTGCACATATTTATTTTTGCACAACTCAATGTTGTAAAAAAGAGCAGCTACCAAACTACTCTTGCAACCATCTGTTTACCTGACCTTTCTGAATTGTTTCTCCAGCAGTAAAATGTTCAAAGCTAAGTAAATTCAATATTGTGTTCATCTTTCCTAATTTATCATCCAGGTATGTCTGAAAAAATCTTATGACAAGTGTAAAGTATTGTACTTCTCATCCTATTGAAGCTTCCTCGCCATTTGTCAATTCTTTTTTCCTTTTGAAGTTGAGTGACATTAGGAAAAGGATATAAACAACTACCCAAGCAGAAAAAGTAGCTAGACAAATGAGTCAAGCATCACAAATTATTCAACTATTCATTTTTCAGCAGACCATGAGTGCTAGGTCACCCAGGTAGAATATCCCGGTTGATATGTCCTTAGTGTCTCACCTCTAAGTGTGGAGGCTGTTGCATGATCTGTTGATACTGCTGTACTATCTGCTGCAGCTGAGCATGCTTCTGCATTATTCTCTGATACTGAAATCCAACCCGGTGATGGGGGTGCTGCTGCCACTGAGCTGCTGCCACTTGCAATTGCTGCAATCTCAAATCTTCCTCAGGGTCATCAGGAGGTTCAATATTGAGCTAGAGAAAAAGGCAAATACTATCAATAAGAGAAAGTTGCTTCTGTCAGAAGAAAAACACACTTGTTCACTACATAGTTTACAGGAACTTTACCACTGTTCCTTATTTTATCACTCTGTATTTCAGTGTTCTGGCCATCCACAACAGCCGGTATTTTTTCAGCTTCTGGAAGGCTGATTTTTATTTCATCTTTTCCTAATGTGAACAGACTAATCTAAAGGTTAGGCTGATGACAGTTAAGTTATTCATACACAGAGAAACTACCTAAAGGAAAGAGATTAATGAAAATCTGTTGCTCACAGCAAAGGTAATGAGAAAACAGTGGTTTTTCATGATGAGGTAAAGTAACTCCACATGCATTATTTTTTCCACTTTGTAGGAATCCACAAACTGTAAGTTAAAGTGGAGCACGTACTGCAGGGTAATTTACTAGCCTACAGTAATTTGTTCAAATATCAATCATGACCTTCACCCATTATACAGTAACTTTTATAAGCATGCTGACAAAAATACTCTGTGCAAAATTCTCGACTTTCAGACAAAGTATTAACACAGAGAAAGAAGGGGAACCAGAACACACAAATTACTAGAGACAAATTAAGAAACAGTGTCTTAAGCACAGCATTCCTCATCTACTGAATATCTGATTTTGCACTTAGGTATCACAAAGTGTCTCTCATAGACAAAGATGACAATGCTGGGGAAGGTGCGAGGGACTCAAGCTCAGACTTGCTTGGTGCACATGTGGGTGACTATATAAGTCTATATTTTTATTTTTTAATTGGTAGAGTTTTATCAATTCTTTTTAAGATTGCTTTAACCTATTTATTTACTGTTACAAAGTGTACATGAGAATTGATGGCATTATTTTACTGAGTTTTTGACCCGTTTGTGTTAACAAATGGAGTGGCATCACTTTACAAAGTCTACCTGAGTTTCAGTGGATGTAAGAGAAGACTCATCTTCTTTGGAAGCTGGAGGCAGGGAATCATTAAGTGGAGGAGGTTCAGACTGCTGATTTGAAGCACCCATTTTCCCTTCTTCAGACTTTGCTCTCTGCTCAGATGCATCCTTCAATACTGGACTTTTCATCTGCTGCTGTCCCTGAGCATGGGCTTTTGCCCTTTGCTGCAGGCTGAGCAGGTGCTGCTGGTACCAGTATTGCTGCTGTTCCTACAACAGATGTAAAATTTATAAGACAGTTTTCACAAGAAAAACAAAGGCAAATAATTCATGTTGGTCAGTAGAATCATCTGTTTTGAGGAAAAACTCACCTCTTCAGCAACATTATTGCAATGGACATCAGAAGATCAAACCAAAATTCAGATACCACTATGTATGGCATAGAACCCACAGCAGAATTTACTTCTTACCTCTATAAGCTTACTGTTCTATAACTACAGCAAATAATAATAGCAAAAAGCTGGAAGATAGGCAATAATAAGCGAAATTACTACAGATATGTTATAAATACCATATTTATTACTTTTAGTGTTTTTCATATCTAAGGTATTTTTTATGAGCTTAACTTAGATAAAATGAAGGGGAAATGGAGAACAAGAATGACTAAGCCACCAGTAAAGAGAAAAAGGAGGAAATGCAGAGAAGAGAAGAATTAACAGAAAACATTGACATCAAGTAGACTGAAAATGACAGCTGAGAAACTGCAGTGGAGATACCTGAATAAAGGCTATGGAAAGGAAAAAGTACAGTCAGAAGCAGCATATAGTGAGGTTTGCGTATCATCTGAATTCGCATTAATCCTGATTCATTCAAAAGCTAAGAGAGAAATAGATACGCTTGCACCCAAAAATTATCCATTTAAGAAATAATTAAGCTTTCAGATTTAAATATTTCAGGGTAGCATTAGAGCACTTGACACAGATGACAGCAGCTTCAAAGGAAAGTAAGCTGCCACCAACATAAAGAAAAAAACACTACAGATAAGTATCTCAGTACTTAAGTAGTGGTGCATCTTAAAGAGATCACAGTAGGAACAATCCTGTATCTCTTCCAATAGGAGAAATATCAGGCATCCAATGACTAGCAGGACACATGTAGTAGGCAGCACTTCACCTGCCACCAAAGTCCCTGCCAAAGACAACTGCAAGGATTCATAGTTCCATAAGCTCATAGAAGAAAAATCTACATACTTTAAAAATAAAAACACCATTTGCAGATAAAGCAGCTCCTGCATTTAGACAAGTATTGCTATATACTTGATTTTTAAGTTGTTCTCTTAGCCTCTCTTAGTCACTGTCAAAGACAGAATGATAAAATACTGTACTTTTTGGTCTGACCTAGGGCAAGCATTCTTGTGCTCTCATCTCAACTCTACCACCTCTGAGAATCTGTGACTGCTCTATATCTTTTATACCTTCTGTTATTCCCTTCTACTCAAACATGCACAGTTAAGAAAATACACCTATATAAAGGCCAGTCAGAAATAAAAAAGAATCCAAAAGATGCAGGTATTTTAAAATGTGTGACAACAAAGTGGTAGCAGTTGTCTGATGAGATTTCTCAAAACTGAAACATTCTGCCCATCTTATAACAGGTTTAAAAGAAGTGCAACCTTTCTCTAAAATCCTAACTCAAGCTTAAATCAGGCATGATCATAGAATCATAGAATAGATTGGGTTGGAAAAGACCTCCAAGATCATCAAGTCCAACCCCTGATCCAACTCCAATTACTATATCATGGCACTAAGGGCCACATCCAATCTCTGTTTAAAAACCTCCAGGGATGGTGAATCCACCACCTCTCTGGGTAGGCTGTTCCAATGCTTGATTACCCTCTCCGTAAAGAATTTCTTCCTAACATCTAACCTAAACCTCCCCTGGCAGAGCTTGAGCCCATGTCCCCTTGTCCTATTGCTGGTTGCCTGGGAGAAGAGACCAACCCCCACCTGGCTACAACCTCCCTTCAGGTAGTTGTAGAGAGTGATGAGGTCACCTCTAAGCCTTCTCTTCTCCAGACTAAACAACCCCAGTTCCCTCAGCCTCTCCTCATAGGACTTGTGCTCAAGTCCCTTCACCAGCCTCTTTGCTCTTCTCTGGACCCGCTCCAGCACCTCAATATCCTTCCTGAACTGAGGGGCCCAGAGCTGAACACAATACTCAAGGTGTGGCCTCACCAACACAGAGTACAGGGAAGGATCACTGCCCTGATCCTGCTGGCCACACTGTTCCTGATCCAGGCCAGGATGCCATTGGCCTTCTTGGCCACCTGGGCACACTGCTGGCTCATGTTCAGCCTCCTGTCGATCAGCACCCCCAGGTCCCTTTCTGCCTGGCTGCTCTCCAGCCACTCTGTGCCCAGCCTGTAGTGCTGCAGGGGGTTGTTGTGGCCAAAGTGCAGGACCAGCACTTGGCCTTGTTGAACTTCATCCCATTGGAGTCAGCCCATCTCTCCAGTCTATCCAGATCCCTCTGCAGAGCCCTCCTGCCTTCCGGCAGGTCGACACTCCCTCCCAACTTGGTGTCATCTGCAAATTTGCTGATGATGGACTCAATCCCCTCATCTAAATCATCAATAAAGATGTTAAACAGGACTGGGCCCAGCATTGACCCCTGGGGGACACCACTGGCGACCGGCCACCAGCTGGATGCAGCCCCGTTCACCAGCACTCTCTGGGCCCGGCCCTCGAGCCAGTTCCTGACCCAGCACAGAGTGCCCCTGTCCAAGCCATGGGCTGCCAGCTTTTCCAGGAGTATATTATGGGAGACAGTGTCAAAGGCTTTGCTGAAGTCCAGATAGACCACATCCACAGCCTTTCCCTCATCCACCAGGTGGGTCACCTGATCATAAAAGGAAATCAGGTTGGTCAAACAGGATCTGCCCTTCCTAAACCCATGTTGGCTGGGTCTGATCCCTTGTCCATCCTGTAGCTGCTGTG